GACGGTATATTTTTCCAACAAATGTTTAATCTAGATTTAAAACAGTTAAGAGAAGGGGCTTCTACTACTGAATTGGGAAGGGAATTCCAAGAATCCACCACTCTTCTGCTAAAAACATTTTGAGTGACCCTGGTCCTGCTCTGTTTTTTGAATAGTTTTTTGTTGTTACCCCTTGTTGTTGTTTGTGTGAAGGTGAATAGTTTATCTTTATCAAGAATGTCGATGTTGTTTATTATTTTGTAAACTTCTACTAGGTCATTTCGTTTTCTTCTGTATTCCAGTGTAGGTAAGCCTAGTCTTCGTATTCTTGAATTGTAAGAAAGGTGTTTTAAAGATTGAATTATTTTGGTAGCTCTACGCTGCACATTTTCTAAAGCTATTTGGTCCTTTTTCAGAAAAGGGGACCAGACCTGGGTGGCATATTCTAAGTTGGGCCTAATGAGACTCTTGTAAAGTGCAAGAAACATGGTTTTGTCCATATAGGTAAATGTCCTAAAGATTAATCCTAGTGTGCGATTAGCTTTGTTAATAGATTGACTCACATGGTGGTTAAATTTCAATTTGTTGTCAATTATAACACCTAGGTCTTTTTCTTTAGTAACTTTCTCAATCTGTTCACCTGAGGGGAAGTAGTATGTAGAATCTTGATTTAGGTTACCAATATTTAGATGTTTACATTTTTTGGTGTTCAATTTCATTTTCCAATCTGATGTCCATTGGACAATGTTATTGATATCAGTTTGTAGTTCTGCAGACCCTGTTTGCCTAGAAATGTTTTTGAATAGTTTTGAGTCATCAGCAAAAAGTTTTACTACACTGTGTTCGACTATATCAGGTAGGTCATTGACATAGATTAGGAAAAGAACTGGACCAAGGACACTACCCTGGGGCACACCACTCGTTACATCCACCAGACCAGACAATTCCCCATTAATGGATACTCGTTGTTTTAGATTTGAAAGGAAATCTTTAATCCACTGGAGGATTTTACCAGTTATTCCGTAACCTTGAAGTTTTTTTAGTA